AATCTATAACGAGGTAGAGCAAAGGAGAGAGAGAGAGAGAGAGAGAGAGAGAGAGAGGTGAGCCATGATCTGTGAGCGTCTGTGCCGGCTGCACGGTGCACAGACAAGGGAGGGAGACACAGACAAGGGAGGGAGACACAGACAAGGGAGGGAGACAAGGGAGAGAGACACAGACATCACTGTGACCACCGCAGGGGTACAGACCGAGGTCTCGTTGATAACGTAGGAAAGGTCTATAAATTTGTCCGTCAGGCTCTCCCTTGATCAGTGTTTGGGGGAAGGTGAGGGGGGGGGAGGGGAAGTGAGAGACAGGGGGAGGGAGGGGGCGGGGAGGGAAGATATGTCGCCAGAAGGGGGGGAGGGAGGGAGGTGTGGAGTTGGGGAAAACAGGATTTGGAAAGGAGAGAGAGTTTTGCGAGGAATACTAGATAGGAGAGTCCTTTCCGGAGGAGTTAGAGGGGGAGGAGTTAGAGGATGAGACCTTCCCACACTCTCACAACCCACTTTGGGGGAGTTGTGAGGGGGGGGGGAGACGGTCCCGTGGACTCATGAGAGGAGAGACATTATGAGGGTGTTAACAAATGAGGTTTTGTAAGGAGGGGGGGCGGGGGTGGATGTTAAAACTATCATGACGTATGTATGTGTAGTGGGGGAGGGGGGGGTGTGTGGGGGTGGGGGGTTGTAAGCACAGGAGTGTGTGAGGGGTGGGGGGGAGAGGGGTAGGGGGAGGAGGGGAAATCGAACATGCATCTCTCTGATTACTTTCTAGAATAAAACAAATTCTAAATCAGGCGCGCCGCCAGTAACGCCCAGATAGATGACTCGGGTGACATCCGGCGCGGGTGATGAGCAAGCATCAATGCGTCCCCCATGCCTCGCAACCCCCTTTACTGCCCACCCTCATGCGTCGCCTCACGGTATGCTGTGGACAATTGTGCCTCACAATACATTTGTTTTCGAAAATTATGCGTCACAAGACGTTTGCTATGGAGGAATGTGCGTCAGAAGACGTTTGCTATGGAGGAATATGCCTTCAGAAGACGTTTGCTATGGAGGAATATGCGTCAGAAGACGTTTGCTATGGAGGAATGTGCGCCAGAAGACGTTTGCTATGGAGGAATGTGCGTCAGAAGACGTTTGCTATGGAGGAATATGCCTTCAGAAGACGTTTGCTATGGAGGAATGTGCGTCACAAGACGTTTGCTATGGAGGAATGTGCGCCAGAAGACGTTTGCTATGGAGGAATGTGCGTCAGAAGACGTTTGCTATGGAGGAATATGCGTCAGAAGACTTGGCCTGGGTGCTGATGCGTTAGTGAGAGCGGTAGACGCATAACAAAGCGGCCATATATATGGTGGGAGAGTATTGTGTAGTCAGTGCGGGGGTTGACCTTAAACTCGGAGGCTGAAGCCTTATATATAAGACTTTGCTCTATAGTATCGATGGTATTAAACGCTGTTGATGATATTACGAGCCAGATACATCAACACCAGACCTCTCACTCGAGGCTTCCCTCAGCCTCCTCTCCAGGCTGAAAAACACTATAGCATACAAAACATCAAATGATAATGGCTTAAAAGGAGGGACAGAAAAATGCTTAAAAATTATAGAAAAATAGGAAAGTTGGAGAGCAAGAGGAAGGGACAGAGTGGAGGAGATGGGAGGAGAGAGAAGGCGAAGGAGAGAGAGCTATTGATGTGGCAGAAGTGATAACGGAAGGAAGGTGCGACATGGGGATAACAGAGCAAGGATAGGAGGGAGGGAGGGAGAGAGGGGGCTGAGGAGAGGGTAGGAGCAAAGAATTTTTAACTTTCTCTGCCTGGGCCTAAGTCCCGCCACCAGACAGTAAAATTAATGACCAGTATTACCGCCTGAACGTGGCCGGCTTCTGAAAATGTTCTCTCTATATATATTTATTTCTCCTCATCCTCTCTCCCCTCTCTCTCTCTCTCTCTCTCTCTCTCTCTCTCTCTCTCTCTCTCTCTCTCTCTCTCTCTCTCTCTCTCTCTCTCTCTCTCTCTCTCTCTCTCTCTCTCTCTTTATTTGCTAGTGCGTTTTCCCTTCGGGTTTGGGTCTTTTTCTGCCTTGATATTGGGTGTTTATTGTCAGATTTTCGTACCCTTTATCACCTCCTTCCGCGCCTTCTTTATTTTCCTCTAATATTTCCACCTCGTAACATTTTGGGGCTCATTTTGGAGTTTGTGTTTGTGGTTAAATGTCTGTGTGTTTGGTGTGTGTGTGTGTGTGTGTGTGTGTGTGTGTGTGTGTGTGTGTGTGTGTGTGTGTGTGTGTGTGTGTGTGTGTGTGTGTGTGTGCGCGAAAATGTATGACTGAGATTGTAGGCCAGATGTCTGGGGCTAGCCTCATTAAACCTTGCAGAATTACTGATGATTATATGGGGATCGTCATTGCTGGGTCTGGGTTCGGCCACCTGGAAAAGGAGTTGGCTCCTAAGCACCTTTATGAAGGTCGATGTGAAATATTATGCTTAAAGTCCATAGAATTTAACCTTTCTTTAAATGTCCATCTTTTTTTCAAACTGGAGATCAATTTATCTAAAACGTAAAAAATCCGTTTTCCGCTTATAGTAAATTTCCTAATAAAGTAACTAAGTATAGAACTTCAAATGAGTAACAATCATTACTCAAGTAAATGAGTAACAATCATTACTCAAGTAAATGAGTAACAATCATTAATCATTACTCAAGTAAATGAATAACAGTCATTACTCAGTTATGTAATCACAAAACCTTCATTTAGACTCATCAATAGCACTCAAGCGTAATATTTTTAATATTACGCTTGAGTGCTACATTTAATATTATAATATAATTGAATATTGTATTAATATTACATTAAATATTATTTAATAATACTTTTGTTTTCAAATTGAAGGTCATTTTGGGCAAAATGCAAATATTCTCAGATTTGTGGTCAGATTACCTTATAAAATGACTAAATTTAAAACTTCAAAATGTGTGCAATCACCTTTACATATGCTCACTCAAGCATAATATTTTAAATATCAGTCTTATGTTTCAAACTGCAGGCCAGATGGACAGGCTTTTGGGTCAGTTACTTTCACGTTTGTGTATTAACACAATTAGGTACATGTGTATTTGTGTAGCTGCCCTGGACTATATGAAGGGGAGTACAGAGTGTGTCAAAAACTAGCTACGTGATGCTAAATATCCCCATCACACAGGGTGGTTAGTCACACAGGGCCTAGTGATCAATGGTCTGCACTGGTAAACTCTGGGTGCATTATGAGGATATCTTCAAGAACACAAGAGTTAATAAAGTAATTACAAAGCTCCAGGTACCTCATGCCAACTGGTCTGAAAGGTCTAATAACTGGGCATTCGGTGATGTAGTGTGGGAGATCATGCCGCAGTTCCTGCTCACAGAGTTTGCACCTGGAGTGCTCAGGGCTGGGAGATCCGTCACCTGCAGCCACCTGCCACAGGTAACGGTAACCCAACCTGATCCTGGCAACCACTGTGTCGCACAGTCTGGTCCACGTTTTGTGCTGCCCAGAAACATAGGTTTTGGATCTGAACAAATCATAGCTTTTTATACTGGTGCTTTCAGGTCGTTGGGAGTCAGTAATTTCTGTGCTATCAGACCTGAGTGTTTGGAACAATATAGTGTTGATAGCAGAGATGGAGATAGCCAGGTCTAGTTCAACTACATCTTTGTTACACGCTAATTAGACCACAATGGTTGCGTCATTATGATGGGTTATATTATGGTATCCATGCAAAGGAGATTCTAAACCCTTTATTCTGGGCAGCGATCAGCTCATTTATTATGCCTAGTATGAGGTTCTTGCTGACCAGACCACACACTAGAATGTGAAGGGACGACGACGTTTCGGTCCGTCCTGGACCATTCTCAAGTCGACAGGTTCTTGCTGTCGATCTTGTATTGGTTATCTAATGCTTGAAGAGCGGACCTTGAATCACAAAATATTCCTCCTCCTCCTGTGGTCTGGGAGCTATTTGTAGTGCCGCTAGTTCTTTATTTCAATGATAATGTGATTGACAATTTATACAACTACTTCTGTTTGTATGGAGATCAGCCAGTTGTGTTAAACCTGACGCTGATAGTCTGTGGACCCGCATGGTTTCTACAAAACCTAAATGTTGCTGCAGTCCGTCCTGAAGACTACTGGACCAAGCTGTCGACGGACCTTACTTCCACTGTTAAATATTATGCTTTTTTTTAATTATTAGTATATATTACTATTATTATTATTATTATTATTATTATTATTTATACTGATTATATACTTAATAATCTCGTGTGATTATTAAGTATATATATTGCATCCCGTTTTCTTCAGCAAGTGTCATCCAGAGCCTCTCTTGCCCATCACCCTCCATCCATCCCCCTTCCCTCCCCTCCCCCTCCCCCTCCCCCCTCCTGCACGACCCTCACTAGTTTACACTGTGGTATGCTTGCCCTCCCCATTGCCCCCCTGCCCATGACGTGCACACAGTGGGCGGGGCTTGTGGGGCTCCGCCACGCCCACAAGCACAAGCCCGTTGACTGTTCTCAAGTTTGGACGTGTTTATGTTCTTTCGGGGTGGCGTCTCTGTCCTGGTCGACGGCGCTCCTGCTGCTTGGATATTTATCTTTGTTTCTGTGTAACTTTTCTCTCTCTCTCTCTCTCTCTCTCTCTCTCTCTCTCTCTCTCTCTCTCTCTCTCTCTCTCTCTCTCTCTCTCTCTCTCTCTCTCTCTCTCTCTCTCTCTCTCCTCTCTCTCTCTCTCTCTCTCTCTCTCTCTCTCTCTCTCTCTCTCTCTCTCTCTCTCTCTCTCTCTCTCTCTCTCTCTCTCTCTCTCTCTCTCTCTCTCTCTCTCTCTCTCTCTCTCTCTCTCTCTCTCTCTCTCTCTCTCTCTCTCTCTCTCTCTCTCTCTCTCTCTCTCCGTACATGTGCTTCCTCCATGTTGTCCCTTGTGCCCACATGCCCACATACCCTGCCTCTCTCCCCCCCAGGACTGTACCCACCGTTGCCGGCCACCCCGTGCATCAAGGCCATCTCCCCGTCGGAGGGCTGGACCACGGGCGGCGCCACCGTCATCATCATTGGCGACAACTTCTTCGACGGCCTCCAGATAGTCTTCGGCACCATGCTGGTGTGGAGCGAGGTAAGCAGCCTGGGTTTGGCCGCCACACATGTTTGGGAGTGTTTAAAGACCTTTAGTTCTGTTTTGTATATGTGGTTTGGAGAGTGTTTGATGGTGATAGAGAAACCTCCATGTGAGGACTCTTGGTGTCTCTTAACTAACATCTAAGATGCTGCCGAGGAGAGAGAGAGAGAGAGAGAGAGAGAGAGAGAGAGAGAGAGAGAGAGAGAGAGAGAGAGAGAGAGAGAGAGAGAGAGAGAGAGAGAGGTGAGGTAGGTGGAGAATGTGAAACAAAATGAAACACATATCTGGGTCGATACGTTTATTAAATAATATACCAGTATAAATTATAACATTGCACAAGGCTGCAGTTGGCGAATATTGTAGGCGGCGCTGACATCGTGTAGTTTAATGGATGATAGTTGGTTATATTATGACGTCACATTTGTTTAGGCTTCAACTGGTGACGTCACATTTGTTTATGCTTCAACTGGTGACGTCACATTTGTTTATGCTTCAACTGGTGACGTCACATTTGTTTATGCTTCAACTGGTGACGTCACATTTGTTTATGCTTCAACTGGTGACGTCACATTTGTTTATGCTTCAACTGGTGACGTCACATTTGTTTATGCTTCAACTGGTGACGTCACATTTGTTTATGCTTCAACTGGTGACGTTACATTTGTTTTTCAGCTGGTGACGTCACACGCCATCAGGGTGCAGACGCCCCCCCGTCACATCCCGGGGGTGGTGGAGGTCACGCTTTCTTACAAGTCTAAGCAGTTCTGCAAAGGCGCCCCGGGAAGATTCGTCTATGTCTGTAAGTTTACCAGGAATTTAGTTGTCAATATTTTTATATATATATATATATATATATATATATATATATATATATATATATATATATATATATATAATTATTTTGTTGAGTATATTCAGTCTCTAGGTTTAAGTTATATTAATCTCGAGGTTATATACTTATATCTAAATATATTAAGACAATGTTTCTCGTAAAGGGTTATATGTTTATTATATATTTAGTGTACAAAAATAGTTCAGTATTATTCACTTTCACAAGAAAAGTCATAATGGTAAAATTTAATATGTCTACGTTTTTATTTTCTAACTTGAATCTCAAGTTAATTTTTAACTTGAATCTTAAGTTAATTTTTTATGTGCAGCATTAGGCAAGCGTATGTTTGTGTTGTTGGCGGGATATCTTGATATCATAGATAACATTAAGATGTCATGTATGTGTTCAATAACATACATGATATTTTGATGCCATGTATGTTATTGAAGCACCCTGTAGTTTTTCTGCTGACATTTGGCTAACTTTAACATGGTTCTTGACTTATGGAACTAATTACGGGGCAACGTAATAGACGTGGAATTCCTAGATTGTTTCAAGTGTAGGATAGACAAGATTAAAGTTTTGGGGAAAGGAGCTGCCTTATAATATGGGTCAAATAGACCATTTATAGGGGCCAAATAGGTCATTTATATGAGCCAAATAGGCCATTTATATGGGCCAAATAGGCCATTTATCTGGGCCAAATAGGCCATTTATCTGAACCAAATAGGCCATTTATATGAGCTAAATAGGCTATTTATATGGGCCAAAAGGCCATATGAAATTACCTGTATTGCTACGGTGTTAGCCTCAACCTCCTAATGGCGTTTCAGCGCTGACGGAGCCGACCATCGACTACGGGTTCCAGCGCCTGCAGAAGCTCATCCCTCGGCACCCCGGCGACCCGGAGAAGCTGCCGAAGGAGATTATTTTGAAGCGCGCGGCGGACCTGGCCGAGGCCCTCTACTCCATGCCAAGGAACAACCAGCTCGCCCTTCCGGCGCCCCGCTCTCCCGCCATGAACCAGACCTCCGCTATGACCGGCTTCAATACATATACCGGCCAGCTGGCCGTCAGTGTCCAGGACACTGCTAACACACAGTGGGGCGAAGGTGAGTATTCCTTACGCCTCTCAACCTCTTCACTGTTGGTAGCAACAAAATAATACTTTTTTGACCTTTCCTCATTGACGTCTCTTCACTGACGTCTTCCTCACTGACGTCTTCCTCACTGACGTTTCCTCACTGACGTTTCCTCACTGACGTCTCCTCACTGACGTCTCCTCACTGACGTTTCCTCACTGACGTTTCCTCACTGACGTCTCCTCACTGACGTCTTCCTCACTGACGTCTTCCTCACTGACGTCTCCTCACTGACGTTTCCTTACTCCTTACTGACGTCTCCTTTATTTAGCTTTGCATTTTCCTACTAGATCATTTTTAGCCATTCAGTGTTTTCTCTTTACTGGAAATAAACTTTTAGCATTTGAGTTCTGCAAGAAGTGCTCTTATGGGGTCTTGCGGGTATCCGTCCGTCTCTGTGGGGTCCACTACCACCCACAGGATGGGGTATGGGGTCCACTACCACCCACAGGATGGGGTATGGGGTCCACTACCACCCACAGGATGGGGTATGGGGTCCACTGCCACTCACAGGATGAGTATGGGGTCCACTATCACTCACAGGATGGGGTATGGGGTCCACTACCACCCACAGGATGGAGTATGGGGTCCACTGCCACTCACAGGATGAGTATGGGGTCCACTACCACTCACAGGATGGGTATGGGGTCCACTACCACTCACAGGATGGGTATGTTACTTATAATTAGCTATATGTTGCAGTGTTGCCAAATCCTAGCATCAGTTATACATTTCTTGTTACTTATACTTCAGTCAATTACAGTTTTCAGTGTAGCCAAAATCTTTATACTGAATTACATTTAGAAGTGTTACCAACACGAATTGTCAATGATATTCTGCAGTGTTGTCAGACTGCAGTGTGCATTACAGTATTGTGCAGTGTTGCCAGACTGCAGTGTGCATTACAGTATTGTGCAGTGTTGCCAGACTGCAGTGTGCATTACAGTATTGTGCAGTGGTGCCAGACTGCAGTGTGCATTACAGTATTGTGCAGTGTTGTCAGACTGCAGTGTGCATTACAGTATTGTGCAGTGGTGCCAGACTGCAGTGTGCATTACAGTATTGTGCAGTGGTGCCAGACTGCAGTGTGCATTACAGTATTGTGCAGTGGTGCCAGACTGCAGTGTGCATTACAGTATTGTGCAGTGGTGTCAGACTGCAGTGTGCATTACAGTATCGTGCAGTGTTGCCAGACTGCATTACAGTATCGTGCAGTGTTGCCATACTAGCTACACAATGATCATGTTTTACAGCGTTGCCAGACAGACCCTCGCCGACCCGCTAACTGACGCCCTGGTTGTTCTCACTTGTAGGTTTTTTCTTCTAGAGGACTACGCGCGCGCTCAGGGTGCCGGTGTCGGCATCTCGTCGCCCCGAGGGGCGGGCTTCGCCTCCAACGCCTCCACCCCCCACTCCTCCTCCACGGGCTCCTCCTCCTCCTCTTCCTCCTACGGTGCCTCCATCAACACCAGCGGGTACTCGTCCCCCTCCGGCCTGGCCAACATGAGCGCGTCTCCGACCATCTTCAGCAGCAGCACTAGTGAGTGGCGTTCTTGTCCTCCGCCTCCACTAGGCTTGGTAGCACTGTCAGGGGCGGGGTGGAGGGTGGGGGGGAGGGTTATAGTACTTTCTTGGTTTTTATACTTGTTTATGTTGGTATCTCTGGCTTCTAGACATGCTTTTGTTGGTACCTCTGGCCGCTAGACATGTTTAAGTTGGTATCTCTGGCTTCTAGACATGCTTTTGTTGGTACCTCTAGCTTCTAGACATGTTTATGTTGGTACCTCTGGCTTCTAGACATGTTTATGTTGGTACCTCTGGCTTCTAGACATGTTTATGCTGGTACCTCTGGCTTCTAGACATGTTTATGTTGGTACCTCTGGCTTCTAGACATGTTTATGTTGGTACCTCTGGCTTCTAGACATGCTTTTGTTGGTACCTCTGGCTTCTAGACATGCTTTTGTTGGTACCTCTGGCTTCTAGACATGTTTATGTTGGTACCTCTGGCTTCTAGACATGCTTTTGTTGGTACCTCTGGCTTCTAGACATGCTTTTGTTGATACCTCTGGCTTCTAGACATGTTTATGTTGGTACCTCTTGCCTCTAGACATGCTTTTGTTGGTATCTCTGGCTTCTAGACATGCTTTTTTTTGGTACCTCTGGCCTCTAGACATGTTTATGTTGATACCTCTTGCCTTTACACAAGGTTATGTTGGTACCTTTTGCATTCAGCCACGCTCTTCGCTAATATTACACACCTGATACCATCTTTGATTTAGTCACCTATTATCATCCTTGCTTTCAACACCAGTTCTTGGTACCTCCTCTGTGAGCTTGCTTGTGGTACCCCCTGATAATGAGAACATCAGTGTTATCCACATACTCTTGGTAGCCCTGATTAAGCAATGTTGTAGCAATTTGTGCTACAGCTGCTTCAGCTAATGTTAGCACCACTGCTTTGGTAACCTGGTAATGCTGTGCTGCCATTATCTGTACCTTGTAGCAATACCATTTTGGGCAACACTGTAGAAAGTAATACTTAGTACCAATGTTACATTGACTTGGTAACAATGACGTAATCCTGTTTCATCTTCGGTATTATAGAATTGGTGTCCACGCTACACCAACTTGGTAACACTGTAGTGGCTAATGTTGGCACCTCTGGTCTATTGGGTTGGTAATACTGCCTCTTGTTTTTCAACGTGTGCATTGCTCAAGAGCATACGTGTGTGTGGACATGTGCGTCTTTCACATAGTTGTTTGTGCGCTAAATTGCTTGATTGCGGAATTACTTGCGCACGGAATTGAGTAGTAGTCATATTTTTGCGATATACACTCATTCATACCTTACCATATACATATATGTATTTACGCTCATATATATATATATATATATATATATATATATATATATATATATATATATATATATATATATATATATATATATATATATATATATATATGTTATATATATATATATATATATATATATATATATAACATATATATATATATATATATATATATATATATATATATATATATATATATGATCATATTTAACCAAACACACACACACACACACACGCACCCACACACACACACACACACACACACACACACACACACACACACACACACACACACACACACACACACACACACACACACACACACACACACACACACACGCACGTAATAATGCTATCAAATTGAACAATAAGATGAATGGTACACAGTGTAAGGATATCAGCAGCCAGATGTAGGTAATTCAGGTAGCCAGTGTGTTGATTGGTGGCAGCAGTTAGTGTAGTGGTGACTGGTGGAACTACCAGCTACCACCATCATGGTGACTGGTGGAACTACCAGCCACCACCATCATGGTGACTGGTGGAACTACCAGCCACCACCATCATGGTGACTGGTAGTTCCAGGAGTGATAGTGTTGGGGGGGGGGGGTATGGCAGGTGTGGCAACGTGACTGATGGTGTTCCTCCTCCCTCCCTCCCTCCCTCATTGTGGTGTTGGAGCATCAGGCGGCGCCCCTGGAGGTCACCACCAACACCACCATCACCACCATCACCACCACGGGTCCTGGGGCGTCGCGGCCTCCTCCTGCCCCACCACCACCTCCTCCGCAGCGTTCTTCTCCCAGTTCACCAATATGAACTGCAAGCAGAGGAGCGCCTTCGCTCCAGTCATTCCCAGTCTGCCGGCCACGCCTCCCCTTACGCCTATCACTACGGTCACGGGCGGCTCCGTGGCTTCCTCCATGAACAACAACGCCGTGGCCGCTGCCGCCGCCGCTGCTGCTGCTGCTGCTGCTGCCGTGGCCCCCTGGCAACAGCTGCTATCTTAGTGTTAGTGTCGACACACACACACACACGCATGCGCCGTTATCTTGCTTGAGCGGGGGTTCTGTTGCTTCTGCAGTCATCTCTCACAGTGTTCATCTCTTCAACTATCTTCTCGTTGGCAGCATCAGCCACCCTCAACTTCCCCCCCCCCCCCCCACCTGTGTGCTATACGTGTATATATATGTAATATACATAGTTTATTTGTGTATTTCCTCATTATTTTAGGCCTTCGTTATGTTAGGTTAGGCCCAGATTAGATTGGGTTTTCATTTTCGGTTTGCTCCGCCCCCCCCCCTTTTATAATTCCCCCAATTTTGTTGCTTTTCTTTGTTTTCGTTTGACTAATTGGCATAGTTACAAAGCGGAGTTGTCAATGTGTATATACAGTGGGCAGCACAGAAATAAGGAGCTGGGTAACTGTAATCATGGTTCCCTTTGGCATATTGAGTATAAACTATTGGCCACAAGTTACGTTCACAATTAAATATATATATATTTTTTTAAACCTAGAAGGGATACCTCCTCTGGTGCAAGTGTAGGGACCCATAGCCTCGGAGAAGAAAATAAAGAGTACTCAGAGAAGACCTTGTGGATCCTCACTGAACACTTTGATATTTTCTTCTCCTACCACCCCTATTCTTTTGGTATGTGTGTGTATTTATCTAATTAAATATATATATTTCTGCACTTTTTTCCCTGGTGAAGGAAGGTGGGAGGCTTGGCCCTCCTCGACACACTGTGCTAACATGGCATCTCTCTCTCTCTCTCCTTCTCTGACACAGGAATGGGCGGGTTTATGTCTTCAGCCTTCTCCTCCATGGGGCACTTCGCCCTGCCGCCCTGCAGCGCCCAGGCCTACGGTCACACACTCGTCCACTCGCAGGCCAAGTGATAAACAACACCTCCACCCTCTGGGCCTCTTCAGCAAGCTCGGTGATGCTAGTTTTCAACGACAACACAACTCTTCCATTGCTTCACGTCGTTGTTTTAAACTAAGGAGTAACATTTCAAAGGCTTGCCGAGAAGCCAGGGCCAAACCGAAGCTCTACTGTGATTGACTTGTTTGAGTGTGACGTCACATTAAATACAAATAGCTCATTGGTCAGCTGAGGTTATGAATGACGTCACATGCACAGTAGTAGAATTTAATTGGCTAGCCAGCCTCTTGAAAATGGCATCAGACTACGAAGCAGAGGTTAACTGGTCTGTTACTCCTGTGAATGTCTGCTCACGCTGGACGTCAACATCTCATCAATCAACGACCGAGCACATGTGAGGGGGGGGGCACCAGCAACATACCAGGAGCACCGAATCTCATCACTCCCACCATACTCATTATATTCATCAAGAAAAGACTTTTAATCAACGCAAGGCATTCATTTAGCGATAGTTGTCACACACTCGCCCCATCCTGCCGTGAAGCAGACACCCCCGTGGTAGAGAGGGACCATGCACACACCTCATGACCATGAAGGAACGTGATTGATGGTGATTATCACGTGATTGATGGTGATTATCACGTGTGGAACGATGAATATGAGTGTTCCAAGGTCACAAAGGCCATGGACGGGGCCAGGTAGACTCTCTCTTATGCGATTTAAACTTATTTTTGTTTTTAATGTGGGCAGCTCTCTTGATCCCCATGCTTGGGTCCCTTACCTCCAACTAGGTGATGTAAATCATAAGATTTACATCTGTTTCATTTTTTCCATTGACCGTTGATTACGAAGCTAAAGGTAGAGTTGTACACTCCAAGATGTGGATGAGAATGTGTGAATGTCAACATGGTAATCTTGAAGCTCCCAGGTGATGTGATGGAGATGGAGTCGACGGCTTCCAAGGTAGATCTGAAGCTGGCAGACTCTCAAGCTGTGTGTCATCAGGCTTAAGCTGCCTGTCGGGCTGAGCAAAGCGAGCAGGCTTAAGCTGGCTCTCAGGCTGTGCTGGCGAGAGGGCTTAAGCTGGTTATCGCAAGCTGTATAAGCAGGCTGAAGCTGGCTGGCTCTCAAGCTTTGTTAACAGGCAGCTTTCAAGCTGCGTGTGAAGACTTCTATCAGACTCTACAAGTATTTTAACCATTCAATACATCAGTAATTTATATAATAAACATCTTTCAAGATGGACACTACTCCTGTGAGTGTCGCATCTAATTAATATTCCACAAAGAAATATATTATTATTATTATTATTATTATTATTATTATTATTATTATTATTATTATTATATAATTGAATAAGGAACAACAATTGGACGTGACACCAGATTAACAACACAGTCCCGTGTGTGTGCACATCACAACCCATTGCTAATTTTTCCTGTTGAAATCTTTTCTCCAAAAAATGAGTTCCCTATTTTGATATCTGGAGCCGCAGGGCGGGAGTGAGCCAGCATGTAGCGGTCCCCTGCGGGTCCTGTACACCCGTCCTCAAGGCATGGCTACTTGGTCTACATTTATTAATGTGTTTATAAGCTACGAAGTGCTACGAGGTTGTTTATAACCACAATAACCTTGGGTTGTAACGTTTTGGAGCTCATTAACCGTTTAATAAATGTAAACAAAGCCGCCATGATGGAAGAAAAGGTACAGTTTTGGTAAGTTGTGGTGTGACAGGTTAATGACTCCTGGTCGAAAGTGTTTGGGCCCGCAACAGGTGTGTGTGTGTGTGTAGTTGTGTTGCATTACGCCACAACACTTACAAATGAAAGCATGAAACACTACTACCTAATGTAGCGTAGTTGTGGCGGTAACCTTCATGGGCGTGCATGGTAACTATGCTGGACACGGTACATGGTACACGGTACACGGTCCACCTGCGGGCTACGTACCTCTTTCCGTGACAATGGCGACTAAATCGGTATTTACTAAACAATTTACGAGCTCTGGAGAGTCACGAGGTCATCCTAAGCTGAGGGTTCTTTCATGGGCGACCTCGTAGTGCTTCGGAGATCGTAAACAGTTTAGTAAATGCACGGACTTAGCGGTAATGATGGAATTGAGAGGTACAGATCTCGTAAGTTGGCAAGTAAGTGCTCTGTAAATTATGGCCTATACTTGTAAATTATGTTCTGTATATACCTGTACATTTTTATTCATTGTAAACGAATACCTTTGTTAAGTTATTTGATGGTTATATCTTTTGTAGATGTTAATATTATGCATTTTTATTGGTGGAAATTGCAAAGTCACCTCTGTTTATTTTTACCACATGGTTGAACACTTCCCTAAAATGTCACAAATAAGGCGAGGATTTATCAGGGATTTACGCGTCCACTTACGAAACCTGTACATCTGTCAACAGTCATGGCGGCTTTGTTTACATCTATTAATTAAACAGTGTATGAGCTTGGAAACTTCACAACCCCAAGGTTATTATTGTTATAAACAACCTCGTAGCGCTTCGGGGGGTGGGGGGTGGGGGGATCATCATCTTTTTTTTTTCAAATAAAGATAAACAAAGCCGCTATGGACGAGGCAAGCTGAACAGGTTGGGCAAGTGGGTGACGGTATCTCTTCAGCCTCCGACCATAAGCGTTCTCTACGCCCGGGTGCGGCTCGCTGGAAGCGCCAATCGCGGCCTGTGAGGTGGGCCTTGTTTTAAACACAACGACCTTGTTTGGCTTAGCGACTTTTATCGCGGGATTGGCCCTTCCGGCGGCGAGCCGCACCTTTTTTTTGGCTTTTAAGGATTTTTTTTTTTTCTCTTTCTGAATGATCCCGAGGAGTTTTTTGACGAACAATAAGAGTTTCCGGATGCTAAACTTTTCTATTGTACCTGTACATGGTCGTAATAGTACATATCATTTACAAATACTCAAATTATATATGGAGACACGACCGCGCAGACCATTGCTCACTGGACAAAATACGTTCGAGTGACGTTTAATCAACCTAAAAAATCGACGTTAAATCGACGTAGACTAAACGCCAAATCGGCGTCGTTTGCCCGGCGGGTTGAGGTATGGACCAGACCATGGGCCTGAGAGCAGGGATGGGGTCCCCCATGGCCCAGGTTGGTAGGGTTCGAAACCAAAGGGTCCTCGCCGGACGCCGTCTCCATGATTCAAGGTCTATTCAGGAATTTGTATACTAAGGAAGGTGGTGTTGGCGGTGGTGTGAGCGGACGGGGCCTTAACACGCTCGTCACTCGCGTAGTTGGAAAGAATGGCAAAATTATTCTAGAGTTACGGGTGTAATTTGTAGTGTTTTATTAAGGCTCCTTGTGACGTTAGTACTCAGGACTCAGTACAACAGCATGTAGTACTCCCAGTACTTAAAACCTGTTTTTAGGACTCCCTAGTACTTGGGACCTCCTAGTACTTAGGACCCCAGTACTTAGGACCCCCAGTACTTAGGACCCTGTACTCAGGACCCCCAGTACTTAGGACCCCTGTACTTAGGACCCCTGTACTTAAGACTCCTATACTTAGGACCCCTGTACTTACAACCCCCAATACTTACGATCCCCAGACCTGTGATGCCAGGACTTTACGACCTAAACTTTAGTGACCGACGGCCAACATTCATCATTCCAGTACTTACGACTCGAAATATTCGTGATCCCCGTACTTAACGACCTCCAGCATTCGTCCCCAGTCGTGACAAGCGCTCGTTCGAGACCAATCACCGCCAACGACACCTTCCGCCACGCGGGCGCGCGCGTGCGCCATCACCACCATCACGGCGGCTCAGCTGCCAGCGCATCATCGCTATCTTATGTGTGATAGTTCCACTACCTTTATGTGTCTAGGTTAAGAACAATTAAATGTATTCTTTATCTTGTACAGAGTAAAATTTTCAGCTTAATTTACTAGGTGTACAATAAATTTTATAAAAATCTATGACGGCCTTGTTGTATTAATTCTCCTCCACCCCCCCCACCCCACTCTTTATTGGAGATTTATTTTGAATAAAATAATGTTGATATTAATGAAAGTAGTAAAGCAATATTGTTTCATCGGGATGCTCATTAGGCTGTGGCCCTGCAGGAATATAATTTGAATATAAACATTTTCATGAAAACATTAGTATTGAGACGATGAGTCACAATAACGAGGCTGAAGATATGATGATGAACAAACCATCCATCAGACGATGGAGAAGTGACGACGCTTCGGCCAGTTTCACGGGACCGAAACACCCGACTTGAGAATGGTCCAAGACGGACCGAAACGTTGTCGTTACTCCATCTTCTAATGTCTGCTTTGGTCATCACATTAATATTCATTTGTATAGATAATAAATAATATCCAGAGTGAGAATATTTAGAGTTATGAATTAAAAACTATAAACATTTATAACCCATCCCAAGCCCAAGATTTTAGGCGCGTATTACTTGGTAAGTTTAATGTTGGATGTGGTGATTCACTCTTGCGTCTCATATTATCACTAATAGTTTACTTGAGTTTACAGACTACAGTATACTTGCTGGTTGGTCAGTAGGCTGGTGTGGTGGCCTTAATAACCCTCCAGAGGGTGATAGGCTTTTTTGTTTTTGTTTTTGAACTTCACCAAAATGCTTGTGTGGTGTAGTGTGACTGCAGCCACGGTGGAGGGCGGACGCAAGTTCAACTCTCCTCCTCTTTTATACATCTACAGCTGTATCTTGCATTATACATCTACGGCAGTGTGTCCTGCTTCATACACTTACGACTGAATTATACAAGGTAAGTGCTCAACATTTTTCTTAGGCTTAGATTTTAATATATACTTAAATATGTATTTTAGGTTTCCGGGTTGATGAGGCTGTACACTTGTTCTCCCAAGATCTGGGCGTTAATAGCCTCGCCAGCCAATCAGAATGCATCACGGGGTTTGGACTTTTACCATGGTTGGCCATTTGCCACACCAGAGGTCTCGTAATCTATCCTTTTGGAAAGCACAATGTTTACACTCCTGTTAACCTCCTCGACCAATGACAATCACGCGTGGCTCATTTACCAGCTCGTGATTGGTGCGTTCGGCGGTTCAAGGGAATGTGACTGGCAGACGGAATAGCATCAACTTCCAATTCATGCCTAAAGTAACATTTAATCTTCCTGGTAACTTACGAAAGTTTCTTCGTGAAATGTTAATAGTTGTTTAACTTTGCTCTTTGACGGGAGATTATGAAGGGTAAAGTGTGGATAAGATTGTTTTGACCTCCGCCTTACCTAACCTAAGTTGTAGGTGTTGAGGAACTTGTCCACTAATGTGATAGACTGTACCACTGGTGATAGACTGTACCACTGGTGATAGACTGTACCACTGGTGATAGACTGTACCACTGGTGATAGCCTGTACCATTGGTGATAGACTGTACCACTGGTGATAGCCTGTACCACTGATGATAGCTTGTACCACTGATGATAGCCTGTACCACTGATGATAGCCTGTACCACTGATGATAGCCTGTACCACTGGTGATAGACTGTACCACTGATGATAGCCTGTACCATTGGTGATAGACTGTACCACTGATGATACACTGTACCACTGGTGATAGCCTGTACCACTGGTGATACACTGTACCACTGATGATAGCCTGTACCACTGGTGATACACTGTACCACTGATGATAGCCTGTACCACTGATGATACACTGTACCACTGATGATAGCCTGTTCCACTGATGATAGGCTGTACCACTGGTGATAGACTGTCTGAAGGGTTATTTTGCGTCTCGGGTTGGTAAATTACAAGGCTATAACCCCCGGGGTACAGAAAAGGAAGAGGCTATGAACATACAGCGTAGCAGACGTTTTGTTTGGAGTGAGTTTGGGCAGAGAGAAATCTGGAAATAGTAGAGTGGTTGGTGAATAAAGAAACAAATTAGTAGCAATAGGATTTTCTTATTAGATTAGTAGTTAATAATAATTATAGTATTAAATGATTTAAGAAATTAATATAATAATTATTGATGCGATCATTTAATTCAACTAAAAGCAATTAGACATCCCCAAACATTATGAATTTAGAAATGAAAATAATTGTGATGTGAGTGTCCAGCCTGACCACGGCGTTTATTGTTTCACAACACCAATGATTAGTTCGCTTCATAATAGTAATCCATCAGTAATTCGAGGCTGATTAGCCATGATTACGTAGATCAAATACTAACGAACATCTAAATAATTCAGATTGAGTTCACGGTTAAATCAATCATTAACCTCTATCAGCAGAGCGGTGTTATCCCGGTTATTGTTGTATAAACATCTGTGGTGTTATTGTTAGCACTAATACTGTGGTGTTGATACCCCTCACACACGAGGCTGCCCGCGGATACAACACCCACGGATGAATTTCAAATTCACGCGAAATATATATAAAATATTACAAAATTAAGTACGTTTGTTAAGTAATATACAAGTAATTGAACTGGTACTCAGAAAAGCACAACATACTCCCAAACGTCAATTACCACCACTACAAAAGAATAAAACATTAGACGATATAAATCTTAGGTTTCAATAACGTGAAAATAGCCTAAGTCTGAAATACGTCAGACTTGCACAACCTGTCCTCAGGCTAGGTGCGTCATAGTGGCACTTGTTCTCCCAAGACGATTGATTGATTGATGAAGATTAAGCCACCCAAAAGGTGGCACGGGCATGAATAGCCCGTAAGTGGTGGCCCCTTTTGAGCCATTACCAGTATCAATAGATGATACTGGAGATCTGTGGAGGTGCGGCTGCACCCTGCGTGACGGGAGATGTCTCCCTCTCCCAAGACATATTCATTCATTTGAACGTATTATGTATTAAAATAGGTTAACTCATACGTAATGTTATATATTAAAATTCTATGTATAGTTAGGCATATGTTAAGTGGTTAGGTTCTGTTGGCTATTATTTGAAGTACGTGGATGACGTAGTTCAACCCCCACAGGTCAGGCTCGGTGGTGTCGACCCCACCATGCATTCATTAATTTTAACGTATTGAGTATTGTTTGTATAATAGGTTTGTTCTCATTTATATATTAATATTATATAATAAAGTATTATGTATAGTTCAGTGTTTAGGTTCTGTTGGCGCCATCCGTCCTTTGATCAAGTTCATTCCATCCAGCGGTCGACCCCACAGACGCATTCATAAATTTTAACATGCTGTTCATTCAAAACGGGAATTTTCTCAAATATAAATTAATATTATAATATATTAGCATATTGTGCATATATAGGCATAGGTTAGGTTAGGTGTTTACGTTCTGTTGGCGATTATTTGTATTTGTAGTACGTGGGTGAAGCATTTACAGCGTTTTGGTTCGAACAAAATTCGTCACTTAAGCACTTGTTCCGTAAGTGTTAGAACGAAATAAGTTGTGAGTCATGTATAAACCGTTTTTCATTTATAAACAGTTGGTGTTTGGCGTTTTTGGAGTCGGCCCCCGATTTACCGAAATAGAGAGGGGCGGGTAGGTGGAGAGACCCGGGCACCGCCGATTGCCCATTTAGTAATATATAATATACTGTAGTAAATGCGTGTTTATTGTATGTACTGCAGCTTACGAAGTGACTCTTGCAGATGGCAGCGGCTGAGGGCGAGCGGGTTGCCTGCTTCTCCCGTCCTCCAATTTCCCGCCAAAATGAAACTGACCCGGAGAATTGGCGCCAAATTTCCCAAGTGGGCCTCTCAAAATTGAAGGTGAGGAAGGAGAGGGGTGTTCATGCCTCCCTTTGGTTAGTGGTGAGGAAGGGAAATGGGTGTTAGGCGCAGTGAGGGAGAATATGGAGGTTGACGAGTGAAGAGGGGGGTGGTGACATCATTTTCATGGCCCCCCCCCCCGGAATATGGTATTGAAAGGAGAAAGAGGGAGCTTCCCCCCCCCACCTTTTTTCTGTTTAATTTCCCCATTATTAATTCCTCTCCCTTTTCTTGTTCACCTTTCTTCTCTACCCCTTACCGACTGTCATCGGTAGGGTGAGCATTATGCTGGGCTGACACTATGCCCCCTGAATGGGGCATTACGTTTACTGTTGTACCAACCCATCCTCCTGAGTAGATAGTACTTTATGTAACTATGTGCACCATAGTACAAATATTGACGTACTAAGCAATTAGATAGTAGAATTTGGAACTATTCACTGTATGAAGTCCGAAAATGTAAAGCTAAAATCCGAAATTAAATATTGATAGGCCTAGTATAGCACATGTATATACTATAATAGGCCTCAGATAACGAGTATTAGGCCTAAGAAGGTTAGTTTAAGTTGTCTTTGCAACATAATTTCAAAATCTCCGGTTTGTCCAAATTCAGTTGTAACGAATTCTACTTCCTAATTGTCCATGACGTCTTATGTGTACTATGGCCCTCAGCGTTACTACTAACTAAACACTAACTACTAAACACGGTACTAACGAAACAGGAGGACGGACTGGGTGTACACTTGCAGAGTGACTAGTCAAGCTTTACATATACTTAGTGTGATCCCTGCCTGCTCAAGGCTCAGTGACATTACAGCACACTATGTACCCAAGTGTACCGGGGTAGTTCTGCACTACAGAACTACAGGTAGTTTTCTACCTACCAACCGGGGTAGGTTGGATACATGTAGTTCTGACCACCTGCCAGTTCTAGTTAATAATGCTTTCGTTGATAAAGTGGAAGCAAAAGAAAAGATCTGTGTGGGCGTTAGGGCTCAAGAATAGTTACGTTCCCCTATAAACAATTAATCGACTCTTGTGTGTGTTTTTTTATATGGTAAATAATAACGGTAAAGTCAAGAGCTGATTAAATATTGGCGAATTTATTACGCATGTTATTGAACAATTTACATAATTACACATCGAGATGGGCGGCGCTCTCAGATCTCACGTTTTCTATCTGTGGCTCCACTAAGTGTATAGCGGCGGCGGGAGGGGACACTTGTCAGGAGGGTAGTAGTAGTCTGAGGCTGCTCTGTCCTTTTGCGATGTACATTATTATCTCTTAGCAACTTCAGTACACGATGTAGTTGCTATACAACACCGGAATTATATTGCATGCAATACAATAGTAGCTGCAGGAAGATTAGTACTAGTAGTTATAGAACAGGAAGACTATTGCTAGTAGGTACAGAACAGCATAAGACTAGTACAAGTAGTTTTACACAGCAGAACACTAGTAATTATAGTACTCTCCCCAGACTCCCTTTCTTACCCCCATCCATTACCTTCCCTGCCTCCCAGTCCCAGATGTCCCACAGCCCCCATCCCAAACCCTCCCAGTCAAGCCCCCATCCCAGACTCTCCCAGCCCCTCACATATCAGATCCTCCCTTCCCACTTGGACAGACTGGACAGCAGAGAGTCAACTTCAAAATAATGTACTCAAACATTGATGGACTTACAAACAAAGCAAGTGAACTTGGGGAAAGAACACAAGAGGACAACCTAGATGTAATAGCACTCACTGAAACAAAGTTGACAATTATCATAATAAATGAAGTGTTTCCCCAGGACTACACTATAATAAGGAAAAAGAGGAAAGGAAGGGGAGGAATAGCTCTGCTGATAAGAAAGGACTAAAGTTTCAAGAAGATGGTTATCCTGGGCTGTGAGGAGGTTCAGAGACGACATAACAGACACCATGGTGATGGGAGCACCAAGCACAGGAGTAGCAGTAATATACATAACTCTCCACTAAATGACAGAGGACCCAGGCAAGAGTATGACAGAAACATGACAATTACTGCTATAATTGACAGGGCAGCCTCTGTCACCTGATCCCGTTTGCTTATCATGGGAGACTTCAGTCATGGAAAGCTGGACTGGGAGAACAAAGCACTACATGGGAGTGTAGAAACATGGAGAGCTAAACTATTGAAAGTAGCAACAGGAAGCTTTTTAAGCCAGCATTTCAGGGAACCCACTGTAATGATAGGCAATGACGAACCAGCTAGACTTGACCTGGTTTTCACTTTGAATGATTTAGTCATAAGGAAAATCAATTTTGAAGCCCCCGTGGAAATGAGCGATCACAGTTTACCGATGTTTGTTTCTGGTAGAAATAGGATTAACATACTCAAGGAAGGGACAAGAAAACAAAAGGCTGGCATTCCGAAAGGGAAATTATGAGGAGATAAGAAAATTCCTAACATATATACCATGGGAAACAGCTCAGAGGAAAGACGGCCCAGACATGATGGACTACATCACGCAGAAGTGTAAGGAGCCAGCATAACAAGTTTGCACCAGTCCAAAAGGAAAAAAACGAAATGCAAATGAGAAACCCATGGTTTAATCAGGGATGAAAGCTAGCAAAGCAACTAAGTACAAACGTGTGGAGAAACTTCAGAAATAACAGGACACCAGATAGCAGAGAAAGGTGCCAGAGGGCCACAAATGAGAACCGAAGAGTGAGAAGAGAGGCAAAAAATCCCAACCCAAAATGCTGCCCAGCCACATTAGAAGGAAAACAACTGTGATGGAACAGGTAATGGAACTGATAATAGGGGCAGTTACCACCACAACTACTAGTCCCACCAGCACCACCCTGCCACCACAACCGCTAGACCCACCACAACCATCCGGTACCACGCCACTGCCACCACCCTCCCCACTACCAACTAGAAGCAAACAACCACCTCTCCACCCGCTAACCACCCACCAACCACTCACACCACCACCCTCGCTACCACCACCCTCGCTACCACCACACATGACACTGCAAGATAATTTTCAAGCACCATCTCCTCTTGAACAACATTGCCTTTGCACCCCGAACATCAATATTTTGGAACGTTCTATAATCCACAATGTCTCTCCTCGAATTTCCACATCACTCCAAAAAAATGTTTCCTCTCCCACCTTCGTTTTCTTTACCGTTGTTTAAATGCATCTTTCTTCCTTATTGATGCGTTTGGTGTTTTATTGACCACTATTGATTGCACTTTTGTTGACCTCTGAGGGTGTTGTAACTCTTAAATAGTTGTCTGCTTTTGTTTGCCTTTAACGACATCTTAAGTGTAGCTTCAGATCTTAAGAGGGGGTGACTAGTCTTCTCTTTAGGTTGGCACTAAGCATGGCACTACTTGACGATTTGCTCACATTACCCAACTCTTCAGTGACGAAGTTGGTATCAGTTTGTTCTTCAGGCAGCTGGCAGTTGTACGTCAAACACTGGCTTACTAACAGTGACCATAGTCAGGATAGATACTATGTTTTTGTAGAGGATAGGTTGGTAGTATGTGTTACTGGTGGTGGCTCTGCTGGCGTTACTACCCACGGCTCTTCTTGAGGGTGTTACTATATGTGGCTCTGTTGATGGTGTTACCACAGGTGGCTTACGGGTGGTGTAAATACAGGTGGCTAAACTGGAGAGGTTACTACAGGTGGCTCTACTGGTGGTGTTGCTACAGCTGGTTGAGAGACAACTTGCACTACTAATGACATCGTTAGTGGTGGTGCTGGGTAATGTTTCCTCTAGTTAGTGTGAGAATGTCCTGGAAATATTACCACTGGGAGCCGCTACTGTTGTGGCTACTGGTTGTTGCAGTCGGGTTGTGGGGGGGGGGTGTCTCTTTAGATATGAATGGAAGATGCTTTAGAGTGACTGTGAAATGAGCTAGTGTTGCGGGCCTTGTTATGGTGTTAGGTGTGTTGGGTGTGGAGGGGAGATGGTTGAGCCAGAGAGGGAGAGAGAGAGGGAGGGTCCGTACATGGTGGCACTATGGCACTCCCTCTGGTGGTGACGCTGCCTCGGTGGTGATTGTTATAGAGTATTATGGTGACTGGGTGGCTCCCTGAGGGGAGGACCTGGTGACGCTCTGGGGGCCTTCGCAGCTCTTGAACAGTTGTACGGGTTCTTGTAGTCGGCGATGGTACCTTGGATGGAAAGGATTTTAGTTCATGGTGGGCCGTTCGCGAAGGTTTTGGTGGGTGTAATTGGGTAGTTGGCGACGTGCGTCAACTACGGCACCGCTGGGCCGGGCCAGTCCCCTGGGACGTCCTTATCGGCCAGTAACGTGCGCTCTGATTGGTCCATCCGCTCTCCCGAGGACCACTCATATTGATCTTCTGGGAGCCGACATGTTCACCTGGGACCCCTTCATGGCTGCCTAACACAAATTGAAACTAAATATAACTACCGAATCTTGAAGACCTCCAGGCACATCCATCTTGAAGGAGTCGGCGACCAGTACCATGATCAGCAAGTTTGGCCGCTCCCAAAAGGGAAGTCATTAATAGAGGAAGCAGGAGTGGTCAGTTGCAGCCTGCCCCGTAGAACTGTAAGCTCCAGGGAGTCGCAGTGCTGGCCCTCGAGAGACCTTCAGCGGGGGTTTGAGTTTAATCCCATTTCTCCTCTCCATGGGCGTCGCGCCGAGCTGCCTCCTCCACCTCAACACCTCCACACTCCCCGACCTCACACGTGGCCAAGAGAAAATCCCCAGCTGTAGGAAACAAGAGCCAATAATGGAATTAATACAGCATATCAGCAAGCGTGGAGCCTCGGGTGGGTTAAAGGTGAGGTGTTATTTACTCTGAATCACAACCTTCCCACGAGACGCCAAATTCAACAGCTGCCTCGCCGCCCCCCCTCTCACCGCCCCCCTCGCCGCCCCCCTCCACGTTGTTCCGGCACTTGCAACCCACATTTCTTGACGGCGAATGCAAAATTCCTTAAAGTCGAAGTTTTACGCAACCTGTGGTCAACTCTGGCAAGAT